TGTTGATCAAGTGTTCCATGTTGATCAAGTGTTCCATGTTGATCAAGTGTTGTTTTTTTCAACAGCATCGTACATCATTGATTCCATATATGTCTTGTATTGCTACCAGAGGATTGATGTATAATAACAACATTGGTATGAATTCAGCCCCCTCTAGAGGTGGATGGCGGCCACTGCACAAACCCCAATGGTTTGAAGTCAATAAAAAGGTGATCAACTTGAAATAACCCTGATTCCCTCATCTCTTAGCCTCTCTCAAAGGCGTTAGTATTGCCACGAAAATTCACTCGCCATCGTGGCGAGGCTAAGAACACCTGTGAGAGAGCCTACTCATCTCTCAAAGAACAGAAGAAATGCATTTAACACAATGAGCAAAATTTCAGAAATTCAAATATAATCATATTGTATGATCCAAGGAGTTCATGAATGTACTTGTAACATTTTTGTCCTTCTCTCTCTTCTTTCTCTCCTTTACTATATAATGTGGTTCCAAATAAGCTGTAGTAAATAAACAGTATTATTATATATCAAGTGTCAAAGTTCACTTTTCCTAGGTAGTATCTTATTGGTCGAGAGTGTACCGCATGAAAGTCACAAAATGTAACTGTTTCCCGGCAACTGTCCACCCGCGGTCAATAATATGTTATGGACCGTCAATAAGTACAAAGTCGCAGAAACAATTCCAAAATTGTTATGAAACATTTAATTTCGACTACAAATAGTTAAATTAGTATTCATTGTGTTATTACATTGATTGATTTTAGTGACTATTTATATTGCCATTTTTCAGTCATTTTATCAAAATCTTTGATAAAAACACTTCATTTATTTACGTTTTTTGCTCTCTTTGACACTTGATATGATAATAAAGCACTTATTTACTGGAAACCTCGGGAAACAGTATGTTTTGTGGTCCCGAGACCGCTGATGTTTCCAGTAAATAAGTGTTAAGAGAAGTTGGTCAGGTACAATGTATGTCACCTTTCCTCTGTTAATTACTATTAATTTCAATCCTATGTTTTGCTAGATAAGGGATAATAGTCTTACTGCCAARGAACTGTTTCCAGGTTAGTTCAATGTTTGATGATTCCGAGCCTCCTTTGCAGACGTTATTAGTATAGGTGATACGTTACCTCTCCACTTATAATGTCTGCAAAGGAGGCTAGATGATTCCACACTTCTTGATTGATGGAGACTTACAGTATCTGCAGCTGTGATATGAGCTCAATCTTCAATATTTYCTCACTTTTAGAGCAAACTTGTCCAACCTCTGTACTTCATTCACAAATTATACCATATTTGGCCATTACAGATGTCACTCTAAGGACGCCAGGTAATTTATGGTTGTCTTACAGTTTAGAGTGGTTCTCGTTAACCCGTGAAACAAAGTGTAATAGTCAAAGTGTAATAAAGTGTAATAGCCAAGAAATATAATAGAAAACAAAAGAGACAAAGTGTAATAACGTGTACTACGCTAAAGTGTATTTCACGGGTTAATGAGAACCACTCTAGGTTGCAAGGTTGTCATGGTGTTTTCTTTGTTGGTATTTCCAGGTCAGATATCATTTGTTCAACAAATGGGGCAATATCAGAAGAACAAGTTTAATACAAGGTAAGACTGTCTGGCTGCAATATGTTGCTGTTCTGTCATCATCACCATCATCATCGTGTTTCCCACACGGCTGCGTTGCAGCCCCGGGGTTCTCAATAAATTCATGGACTGTTGTTCTCAATAAATCCCAAGAAATGATCTCTGTCCATCATCTTCCATCTAACTTGTATTTTATCAATGCCAAGAAGATGCTCCACTTTTTTCCATATTCCACTCTCCGAGCCTAAAAGCACTTGCTTCTGGAGGGCGTCATTATGTAAGGCATTATGATGACACAAGAATATACCAACAAAGGTAAAACAACACAATTGCTATCGGTGTTTATAATATTTTCCTTGCTTCCTTTCGATTCTACAGGTCCTCTGCAGATACTCTTGATGAGAAAGAATGTGGCATGGCTACCAACGATGATCCCACTGACTCGGAAAGTTTTTCTCAACATGGCAGCTCAAAGCTCAACTCAAAGACAGCTACTGATCAAGTGAAAAACCAAGACTCACAAGAAATAGATCCTGCAGTCGATCAAAACACAGATGAGGATGTAACTATTGAAGATTTTGAGGATGAATGGTAGCATGCTCAAGYTTGTTGGAGGTCAAAAGTAATTATGTTTGTGTTGGTAGAGCAAGGAACTTACATTCCTGCTTTTTGCTTAAGGATGTTACAGTTGTTACTTATGTGTATATAGACTTACAGGAATATTATTTAATGCATAATTATATATATTGTAATTATTGACAACTGTAACAACTACTTCAATAAAAAGACTATATTTCTTGTACAGTATGGTTATGTTCCTTGATAACTTATTCTTTTCTGCTAATTGTGATTATAATACTATTAATTTCATTCAAAATAATGCCATATTCAAGGACCACCAAGAACCGCAATTCCTCACATAYGAAAATTTGCCATCTTTGATTTWGAAGCAGTCAAAGAGCAATTTTAAATGAAGAGATCRTTTGTAAAAYGAACCAAYAATCGCAAAGGTTCCTTGGTGTGTGTCATTGACTGTTGACACAGCTGAAAAGTAGCTGTTTCACTGTGTACTCTAATCTAGATTGTGYGATGCTKAATTAAAACATGAAAAAACATTTTATGCTGTCGCTCTGTTAGCAACATATTGTCTRTAAGCTTCAGTCACATAAACCAGYAATAATAAAACAATCAGAAAGTCATCTAGTAGTCCCAGAAACCCAAATACTGACTCGGGTATAATGTCCAATGGCGAAACAAAATATAGTGCAGCTGCGAGAAAACAAAGGATTATTCTCATTCTCAACACCCAAACAAGACCTCCAACAGAAAATAATTCACTTAGGAGTTGTCGAAGAAGAGTCGGGAAGTCTCTTATGTAATCCATCAGCTGAAAAAAAAGAAAATGGGAAAGAAATTTCAAATGAAAAATAAAAATATAAAAAAGGTGTTCCATTGGTACTTACAGATCTTGGCAACCCTGAAAACCTTCTGTTATATTCAAGAATTTCTCTCTTCCACTGTTCTGATTCACTTGATTCATTCTCTTCAGGAGAAAAGTTCTTGAAAAGTATCGTGACCTGTGATACAAACAAATGACACATTAGCTTATTAGTGGRGTAACAAAAAAATTCAAAGTGCATCGAGTTACATACCTTTTGCCTGCATACAGGACATTGTACAGCTCCAAGCCAGCGACCATATCGCCAATATGATATAATACATGGAGCTACAAAAAGCGTTTTTTCAGAAAGAGCATTTTGGGGGAACTCAAGCCAATCTTGACGTCATCACATTAAAAACATAATCAAAACAACACGAATGACGCAAAGTATTTAGGGACACTTACCGCAGAATTCGTGACCACAATTTGTCATTGTTAAGTACCTAGCGTCCGTTAAACATACAGGGCAATGTCTTTCAACAGAAAACGGCCGTGGCGGCTCGGAAATGTGTTCTGATTGGTGTTCTTCGCTGTCATCTTCTCTTCCAACACCCAACCTATCTCGAGCTAGACGGACTTGTTCCTCTTGTAAAGGATGAATGTTTCTGATTCCAACATGATTTCTGAATATGATACTAACAATGGCTATTAGTACTAATGTAGATACAAGCCCCAGTAGGACCTCATCGCCGATTCCTTCAATCATACTGCCTTTCGAATGAAGAGTATAAATACTTCCAACTCCCGCCATATTGAAATGACGATGAAGTATCGATTTGTTATTGTCGGAATCTTCTCGGGATCATACTGAAATCTAAATAATAAAAGTTTCCGATCATAAAACATTGTATTGAAGGTTAGAAAGATATTGAAAAACGTTTTTGAAGTATTTCAATATTAAAAAGTGAATTTTATTGTGATACAGTTCTTTTGTAGCTCAAAAAATTACTGAATACGAGAATTAATTTTTGTATTTATCTGACCAGCGGTTGCTGCCTTTACTATAAAAATCTGATGAAATAGAAAGGGACAGGGATTGTTCAAGGCTGYTCAACATGGGATCTATAGACTTTGAGAAGTTGATTCTTGAAGAAATTGCGAACTCTGGTCATCTAAATACTTATGAATTTGCCAAGGATCTGCAACAGGATCATCAGCTTATTGTAGGCGCTATAAAAAGCATACAATCTGTTGGCGAGGTGAGAAGCCGGTCGGTCCATGTTGAACACATTTCTCATGACATTTGGACTGCTGGAATCCTAGATTATTTTAACCATTTATTTTTTGAGGAATAGGTGACTCAGCATTGTACTCTGTGTCCTTCCTTAACTGCATTCTTCGTCTTTTATACCATATTTTTTCGTCAATGAAATTTGAATGGAAACTTCTATGTTTCATTTTCGATTTCAATTTCATTTTTAGTTTGCAACAAGCCCAATCCTGAGCCTGAGTTTTTAATCTTATATATTCGTATGAAGATTCACGATGGTTAATGTTGCATAAAATATTGATTCATTTGATTATATGTATTTTCAGTTAAAAAAAAGCTATTTTGTGGCAATGAAATGAAGGGGGAGGGAAGAATGAGAGGGGAGGGAAACTATCTTAAGACAAAACCAGTTAGATTTTTTCAATCAAATAAAGTATATCAGTAGGTAAAACAGTAAATTAAGACAATGTGCATTATCTCTTTTATTGTTACAGATTATTAATACTGAGCAATGCCAACAAGAAAATCTAGTTTTGACTGAAGAAGGGGTTCTAATCGCTGACAAGGGAAGTCATGAGGCTTTGCTGTACAATGATATCCCTTCAGAAGGCATAAAACAAGCAGATATAAAGGTTTGTTTGAAATTCTTACTGTATATTAGTCACAGAATAAAAACTGAAATGTTTCAGATTCTTATAAGCTGCAATTCTAGACATGCAAATCCCAATTTCCTGTTAGCTAATTTCTAGGTTTTCTTCTTTGATTGTAGAACCTTGGACCTAATGCATCTATTGGATTTAGTAAAGCAATGTCTTCTGGTTGGCTAAGAATTGATAAAAGTGCTGAAGGAGGACCAAGAGTTTACAAAAAGGCTAGTTTATTATTGATTTTTTACATGTTTTTGATGTTTTTGTTGTTGTTTGTATGTATAATGTGTGAAATTTCAACTAAACTGTCTTTTCTCAAATGGTCTGATCCATGTCTCTGTCTTTTTCAGGTTGAGTCAATCGAAGACAGTGTACAGCAGTCACTGATCAAAATATTAAATAATGAGTATAAGGAAATGGCTGATGCAAAGATAAAAGAACTCAAGAAAAGAAAGCTTGTTGCAACTCAGTAAGACTTTCATAATAAAAGTGTTAATTCATTACTCTTTCACTGACCGTTCCTATTCCTATTCTGTATTTTCCTCCCTATAACATTTTGAATTGTAGCCATACTTTGCATAAAAACTAGAAGGTTTTTGAACTTATGGAAAGAAACTGCTAAATGAAAGGTTGCATACCTAATATAACGAAGAAGAAAATTCATTCTCTTTTCAGAATAATCAAAAGCTTCACTGTTACAAAAGGAAAAGACTTCAGTTTATCAGTGAAAAGACTTGAGGCTGATCTAACTGCTGACCTGTTGCTAAGGTACACTTCTATTATAATATTTATTGCTCTGTTCTAACTATTTATAATTTTGTACAAAACATTCTTAGTGTTTTATAATTATGTTTTATATATTTTGATATGTAGTGGTTTGTGGGAGGAGTTGACTTTCAAGCCATATAACTTTGATGCTTTGGGTGCAAGTCTGCCATCTGGTCATCTCCACCCACTGATGAAAGTCAGATCACAGTTTAGGCAGATCTTCTTAGAAATGGGGCAAGTATTTTCTGAGAAAAATTTATTGTTGGATTGATTGATTGCTGAATTGAATGATTGACTCATTGATTGACCCTGATTAATGATTGATTGATAGGTCGATCATAATATTTGTTGTGTATTAATTAAATTTATTTTTAATTCTGTTTTAAAAATAAAMAGGTTCACAGAAATGCCTACYAACAACTTTGTAGAGAGTTCTTTCTGGAATTTTGACACTTTGTTTCAACCACAACAACATCCAGCAAGGGACGCACATGACACTTTCTTCTTATCAGGTATATAAGGCGTTGAAAATACAGCAAAAACCCATGTCTATGTAAACCCGTAGTGGAATTTAATATTTTTTTTTGTCATTGTTTTTCTAAACAGATCCAGCAGTTTCAAAATTAGAAGAAATGCCACAGTCTTACATTGAAGCTGTCAAGAGAACTCATGAACATGGTGGATATGGATCACAAGGGTAATGAAAATTGTTATTGCGATATAATATAGCTGAATAAAAATGTCTAATTGTGGACTCTATTAAAATTAAATTTAGATACCAATATGAC